GTGTGAGGCCCAAGCCCATCCGGTCTTCCTCTGAGATTAAGTTTAAAAGGCAGGTTGACATGAGATTGTAAAAAAATAAAATAAAATAAAATCTACAAGGACTTTTATTTCTAACTAAAGGAGAAACAACCACAAAACAGAAGAAAAAAAACTACTGCCCTTTCCCTGCCACTCTGTTAAAGTGTAAGTACTTTTAGTCCTCAGCACTCTAGGGACAAAAGTTTATGTGAAAATTTTAGCACTCACAAAGGAGCTTGGGGACAGTGGAGGGCTTAAAGGAAGAGGGTACCATTTCCATGGCCCTGATTCTAGAAAATCCTTTTGACCCATCACTCCCAAGGACCTGTCCTTACCCACACAGCCAAATCTGGATAGGTTTTATCTTACCTGATCCCTCTGCATTGTGTGTCACAGGGGACCACCCTCTACCTGGTACCATCATCCCTTGGTTTTCTCAACAGCTGTTCCCCTCTACCTCTCTGCAGCCTCAATTTCCAGAGACAGCTCTCCTCTCTGGACCCTTAGATGCGGGGATTCCTTAAGGCTCTCCACTGTGCCCTGACCTTCATCATCCCTCACTCTGCTCTCTCCTGGGTGATCCCATCCAACCTCATCGTGGCACCAGTGCTTTTCTAACAAAGGGTTTCAAACCAACAAGTAATAAAATCAACTTGGTGGTTTACCCCTAGAATTTTTTTAAACTTTTGTATTGCAGTGAAATAGACATAACAGAAATTTACCACTTTCACTATTTTTAAGTCTACAGTTCAGTGGCATTAAGTGTAGCCAATCTGTTATGCAGCCATCACCACCATCCATCTCCAAAACTTTTTCATCTTCCCAAACTGAAACCCTGTACCCACTAAACACTAACTCCCACCCCACCTCCAGCCCCTACAACCACCATTCTACTTTCTGTCCCTATGAATTGACTAATCTAGGTGCTTCGTATAAGTAGAACCATACAATGTCTGTCATTTTGTGCCGGGTTTATTTTAGCATAACATCTTCAAGATTCATCCATGTTGGGGAAAAAAAAAAGATTCATCCACGTTATGTATCAGATTTCCCTTCCTTTTAAAGGCCAGATTTATTTTTCAAATGCAGTGGAATAGAAAATATTAAAGCACGTTTCTTATAAGAAGGTCAAATATTGTTTCACAGAACGGCTGTTTCAAGTGGATGCGTATGTGAGTGTGTTCTAGATCCCCGGGTGTAACATAGTTCTTACGGCGGCTAACAATTATAAAAGTTGGGAAAACACTGATTTTGGTGGTGACTAAGTAATCTCCATTGCTAGCCTGGCTCTTCTCCGCCCACAGTTCCGGAGCTCATTTCCAAGGAGCTGCTGGATAGCTCCCTGTCAGCTCCTTGCAGTGAGTTTCCTAACACATCCAGACTCAAATTTGTTACCCTCTTTCCTCCAGACATGCTTCTTCACACACATCTCCTTGATTCTCCATAATCAGACCCTGCCTGCCTCACCTTGCCCCCAGGTACACAGCTGTGATATCTGAGTTATGTTGAATTACTTAGCTCTCCCTGGCACTTGGCTATCCTCATTCAAGCTGGCTCTCATCCTCCTTTCTTCCCCTTCCACCACGCCTACGGGCCATTTTCCTTTCTTTAGGACCCATTTCAAATGCCTCCATGCACCTTGAAGCCATTCTGATCCACTCTGGGTCCCTCCGGATTTCTGGAAGCCCTTGCTCACACCTCCAATTTGGCTTATGTTTGTATTACGTGCCTTTCCGTCTTCCTAGCAGACCGCAAGCTCCCCGGAGACCCTGGACTGTGTCGGACTGCCACACGACTGTCCTCAGCACTTAGCGTGGGGTTCAGCATAAAGCAAATCTTCATTAAGTACGTGCTCAATCAAGTACGGATAGGAGGAAGCCAAGAACATCAACGGGAAACTTCACAGTTTTGTCCCCAGAAGTGGCGACCACACAGCACAGACAGACCAGGGGTCCAAGGGAAGAACACGTACCGACTCACATCCCCCACTCCCTTCTGGTGAAGTCTGGCCCGAATTCTCCCTGAAATAGCCTGTCATCTCTGTGCTCCTGAGCTCTCTGTGAGGTGGCAAACAATGGAGGCTTTGCTGAATACATCGTCATCTAACCCAGCTCGGCACAGAAGCGAAAAATGGCAGCCTTCAGGAATCCCCAAGGTCTAAAGTAGATCTGCCTTCCGCACCAGAGTCTCCTCACTTTGGACCAGGCTGTCACAAGAGCCTCCCAAGCTTTCCCCATCACGAACCTCTCCTTACGGAGCCTGAATAGCCTTCCTCCCCAGAGGCTTTTATCCCACCATTACTCTACTCAAAGACCACATGCGGCTCCCTGTGAGTGAAGGAACCCGGTTCAATCTGTCCTTCCCCATCCACAAAGCACCTCACCGAAGCTACTCACCCAACATTATATCTGTCCCCGTTCTCCACATTCTCCCTTTAACCAGTTGGATCCGTTTCTTCACCGTGTCTTCCAATTACCAGGGGTGCACGTGGGCAAACAGGTGCATGTGCACACACGCACACACACACACACCCAACTTTCAATCATTCCTTCATTATCCTGTATTTATTGAGAGTTTACTATGTACCCGGCACCATGTTTGGTGCTCAGCGTGCAGGTGGGACCCAAGCATGGAGGACCCTGTCTCATGGAGGTTTTGGTCCAGAGCGGGGGTTTCTCCATGTCAGCCCTATTGCTATTTGGGGCTGGGCAATGCTTTCCTAGGGGAAGCAGATGATATAGTTGTAGGATCCTTAATAGCAGCCCTGGCCTCTCCCTGCAAGATGCCAACAGCTCTCTCCTTTCCCAGTGTGAGAACCAAAAATGTTTCCAGGTGCTGCCTGGGGTAACACTGCTCTCCCTTGAGAACTGTGGGTCTAGAGCAGCCGGGGAAGCTTGCTAGGAGCCCTGTGGGGACCTGGTAACAAGCATGAACTGGACCCACCCCCAGAGAGTCCGATCCTGAGCCCAAGCACCTGCGTATCAGCGGCCCCTGCAGGTGATTCTCATGAGGCTGTTCCAAGACCTGTTTGGGGAACACTCAAGTGGGAAGTGCTCCTCGACTGGACACAGACCAATAATCACACCCAGTTGGCTCATTACAATTGAGTGGGTGGTCTGGGCATGGGAGAGCGGAAGGGAGGCGGTGCCCCATCTCTGCACGTTTGCTTACATGCTCTTTAGCTCTGGCTGTGCATGTCATCACCACCCCCCACCCAGACACACACCTAAATTTCACCCTTCCTACATGGACCCATTCAGGTTCTACCTCCTCTAGGCAGTCTTCCCTAACTACTCCAGCCCATTCATACGTCCTTCCTCAGAGAGGTTAACACTCACTACTTAACTAGCTCATCTGTGGCCATTTGTTTCCCCAAAGAGACCTCAGGCCTCCTGAACACCAGGACCACACCATCTGCTTCTCCACAGACCCCCAGAGCATCCTTCCCGTATCGAGTACAGGCCAGTTTTGCTTGCTTGACTGAACTGAACCCATGTCCCTGGAGTGAGGCCCCAGAGGTGGCATCTGAGATTTGGGGAGTCAGGATCTCGGTGTGAGGGAGGGATGGGAGGCAACCAGCATGCCTGCTGAACTCTCGGTGGTTCGCACGGCCACCAAGACCAGGGAGGGTGTGGCAGAGCAAGCAGTTAGGAGTTGAGCTGGCGCTAACCATGAGCACGGATGTTTTTTCACTGTTGACCAGGCAGCATGGATCCCAGCAGGCCCAGCAGTACTGAGTAAGTGCCAACGGGGCCCAGGAACCCAGAGTGGACCTGCTGAGGAGGAAACAAGTGCAGCAGGTGGAGGCCAACGGGGCAGAAGCAGGCCATCTGGGGCCCACAAGTCCTTGCATGGGCTTATCTTGGAGGGGCAGTAGAAGCCAGAAGGGGAGGCAGACCCAAGCCATCCAGGGGACTCTGAAAATGTCCTTTAAAACCAGCAGCACCATGCAGAGCTCATCGGCTGCCTTCCATGGGGGAAGAATGCTGTCTGGGGAGGGAGGGGGCGGTGCATGGCTGGTTAAGTGCAAATGTCCCAGGCAAGGAGCCTCATACTCCCCAGCACGGGGACAGGGACAGGGACAGGGAAGGGAGTAGCCTAACAGCAGCAAAGAACAAACCTCCAGGCAAAAGGAGAGCTAGGTTAATTCCAAAAGGGGCTCCGATGTGGGAGCATCCTAGGGTCAGCGCTATCCCCAAGCTCTGGAGCTAGGCAGAGTACCCCAAAGCATTTCTCCTGGCCAGCAGAAGGAACTGGCTGGCATTTTCACACACGCAGGGACCCAGGCTGTGACACATCCTCCTACTGATCTTTCTCTTAACAGAGTCGGCGGGTGGATGGGGTGGGCTGGGAAGAGAGCCCAACGAGGGGAGAGTTAACTTTGTCTGCCGCTCTGACCTTCTGTGTAAGGATGAGAAAGAACCATCTGCTACAGGAGGAATCAGGTTGTTTCACACGCATAGTGGTTACCGGTTTATGAAAACTGACGATTCCAGTCACGGTCCCAGCCCATTATCACTCCCCACCTAACCTGCCGCTTTCCCCCCAGGAGCCCCCACAGAAGTTCAGGACTCAGGGTAATCCTGTTCGGTTTTGAGCCCTCCACACCAGGGAGCCTCCCCTCCAACCAAACGGCCTTGGCGCCGTAGATTTGGGGGACACCGATCTGACTCCTGTGGCCCCTCGGGGCATTCGGATGGATTCGTCATCGGCGTGGCCACTCGGAATTCCAACCTGTCCCCCATTTTCTCAAGAAAACAAAGTTGTTGGGCTCCTCCGGCCCACGCAGGGCAGGCGCTCTCATGCAGCTGGGAGAGATGCGCTTCGGAGCGCCAGGACCCAAACCCAACGCGGCGGTGCTCGCAGCCAGGTGCCCAACCCGGGCCCCTGACTCTGGGGACGCCCGGGCCGACGCTGCTGCCGCCACCTGGGGACTGGCCCGCGAGCTCCCTGCACCCTCACCCGCGCTCGGACTTTCTTACCTCTTGATGTAGTTTCTGCCGTACAAGATCTGTTGCAGCAAGGTCACCAAGGCGAAGGCGCAGATGAAGATGAAGAGCAAAGTTCGGTTCCCCAACAAATCCCGGTTCGCCGAGGGGTCCGCGTAGCGCATCCTGGCGGCCGCTCGCGCACGGCGGGGCGCGGCGGGCGCCGGACGCCGGGGGGCCCCCGCAATCACGCACGGGGTTTCGGGGCCCCGGCGGGGCGTGCGATCGACCAGGTGCCTCTCGGCGCTGTTAGCCGGGCGGGGGACTTGGCTGGGCAAAGTTTCCGCCTGGCGGGGAGGGCGCAGGGGGCATCCGAGCGTGGCCGGCGCCGGGGCGGCGGGCAGGGGAGAGCTGATCGTGGGGAGCTCAGCCGCGGCCCGGGGCCTTCCCTCCGGACGCCTCTACCTCTGGGCGCCCGTGCCCGGAAGCCGCCGATTTCCCTGCGGAGAGGCGACTCCAGGTGCCCCGGGCTCAGGGCGGCCCCTCCCCGCCGAGGTGACGACCAATGGGGAGCGGGGCCCGGATGCCGTCCGCTGGTGCACCCGAGAGCGCGGCGCACCGCCCCCTCCGGTCGGGCTCCGGATCGCAGTCGCCCCGCGCCGTGCCCTGTCCCGGCCGGCCACGTCCGATCCCAGGGCCCGCAGCGAGGCAGCGCGAAGGTTGGCCTTCAGTTCTGCAGATGGGAGGTGGGGGGACCAAACACCCGGACAGGCTGGCGAATGACTGGCGGGCGGTGGAGAGGGGGAGGGGTAGAGCGGAAAACGCCAGGTTTGAATCGTGGAATTAAAAAAGGGGGCAGGAAGGGGAAGGCGCGGCAGAGAAGCTGGGCATGCTGGAAGCTGGGCATGCTGGAAGGGAGCGTTTGCTTGCGGCGCGCAGGGTACTGAGTCACCGCGGTGGCCACGTCCTCGCGCTCGGGAGATTTCTCCGGAGAAAGCGGAGCAAGGTCAGCGGGCAACCCTTCAAGGACGGGCACGCGCGGCTCCTGCATGCTGATGGCCTGCGGGGCTGCCCGCCTGCGCTCCGGGCACCCAACTCCTGCAGGGAGAAAATTCAGAGGCTCTACACCCCAGCCACAGGCCTCCTTCCTCTCCCCAGCTGTGGCCCGCGGCTGTTCCTCAAAGACCTGGTTGTCACCGAACCACTGGGACCTTGTCTCATCCTCGGAGCCGCTCATAAATCTTAGGTCAGGCAGCCGGCCGCCTTAGGGTACCACGGTCCCCCAAAGCTTGAGTAAATCAGCAAGTCTGGAAAGGCTGGTGCTTCAGAGGGCACAGAAAGGCAACGCCAAAGTCATGCCTCTTTAGAAATCCAAGCCCCTAGATCCGCTCCCCTTTTCCTAATCCCCCTCACCCCCCTACCCCCCGCCCTGCAAGCCAAGTGCCAGCCCTGTCACCTTGACCCCACAGTCTCCCACGTCCTGGAGAGTCATGTGCCCACAGCGTTCACCCCTGAGCCCTCCTGGATGATTTCAGGGCGCCCCTTCCAAGGGCCCTACAGCCGCTGGGGACGTTCTGGAGTCAGGGTGAGGATTCAGCTCCCAAATAGACGGAAACTCTTGTCCCAGCAAGAAAAAATGGCTTTAGTGACGGGCCTCCAGTGCTCTGGCCTTACCCTTTAGTACTTTACGCTGGAGCTGGAAAGAGCAAGGAACGGGATGGCAGGTCTTATGATTAGGGATTCACCAACAAGGTTGGAATTGGTTTTAATGCACAAGGCGGCAGCGGACCATGGGCTGTCAAGAGTTTATGTACCAAATAAATATCTGTGAGGTCAATTAAATAAAGAACACAAACATTAAGATGGCCCATTATTATAATAATCCCCAAATTTATTTGGTGCCTTACTCATCAAAATAGTGCTTGCTTTTGCATATTAATTGAATTAGCGCCTGCTAGCCTCTAACTAACCCTCTTTACAATCAAAAGGACCAAAGGTCTAGTTGCCCAAAGTAACTCACCTAGCAAGAAGTGTTTGGAATGGGAGTGTGGCATTTGCTCCCACAGAGGCAGGGGGGGCTTTATGGGTGGGGGCAGTGCCCTGCCCCACCCCACCTCACCCTTGGCTTAGAGTTCCACTCTTGCTGTCTTTAACCTCTTAATAATTTTGAACTAGAAGGCCCTGCATTTTGCTTTCCACTGGGACACACAGATTATGCGGTGGGTCCCGCACAGTGGTCCAAGTTGAGTCTAATTTTTCACTTAGTTGGCCCTCCCCTGCGGAGGTCACGGGCTACCGTCACTGCTGGAGAGGCACTCTCATCTCCTTTCTTTTCCCGCTGGTTCCCCACCACCATCAAGTACCCTCCCGGATAGTTGTCTTTGAACGCATAGTGCCTTGGAAAAACAAAACGGATCTATTTTAAAACAAGAAATCTAAATTATTCTAAAAATGTCCAGCTTGCTGAGTTTCCACAAGCTGAACACACTCGTGTAACCAGAATGCAGATTGAGACACAAAACATCATCAGTCCCCCTCCAAGACCCCTCTCCTGCTCCTTTCCAGTTACCTTGTGCTGAAGAGTAACCATTATTCTGACTTTTAGCCCCAAAGATCAGCACTTCCTGTTCTTGCATTTTATACAAACAGAATCATACCTCATATATTCTTTTCATGTCTGACTTCTTTCACTCGCCATGGGTTGGAAGGTTCTTCCATGTCACTGTGTATGACAGGGAGCATTGTAATATGGCCCCCGAGATCCCTCATCCTCTCTGGTCCTTGCACTTTCTCCCAGTTACTCAATCGAACATCCATCTAGGTATTGCTGTAAAGGGATTGTGGGATGTAATTTAGGCCCAAATCACTTGGCTTGAAGATAGGGAAAGTATTTTCAGTGGGCCCGATCACATGAGCCCTTAAAAGGGACTAAGCTCTTCCTGACGAAAGAGATTTTGAAGCATGATACAGATGGACTTGAGGGAAGCTCTTCACTTTTGGTTCTGGTGACAGAGTCCACACGGCAAGAGCTCTGGACGGCCTCTGAGAGCTGACACCGGCTCCTGGCTCACAGGCCGCAAGAAAATGGGGGACCTCAGTCCTCCAGTCACAAGAAAGACCATAAATTTTGCCACCACCTGAATGAACTGGGAAGACAGTCCTGAGCTCCTGGCCTGTGAGGCCGTCTGAGGAGAAGCAAGATTTACGAGCTGCCCCACCGTGAGCTGGTAAGCTTGTGTTGTCCTCAGCCCGTCAGTTGGTGGTCATGTGTTTCCCAGAGCCAGAAAATGCATGCTTCGCATGCTATGGGTTAGAGGTTGATGGATACCGTTGTTTGTTCCATCTTCTGTCTATATGGTATGTCACGGCTGGACTGTAGCACAACCAACGTATCCACTCTACTGTTGACAGACCCCCAGAGAGCTGCGGCCACATACCTTCCAGTGTGTCCTCTGGTGAATATATGCGCGCTTACCTGTGGGGTAGCAGTATTTAGGAGTGGGATCACTGGGTCACAGAAGGCTCAGCTGTAGTGTGATTCCTGTCAAACAGTTTTCCAAACAGCTGGGTTATTCTTTTCATAGGTATTTGATTCAAACTTGCCATGACCGGATGGGAATTGGTCCCCACCCTAGATGACGCTACCTAGCTAATCTAACAGCAAAAAACCCACGAAGAGACAAAATAGTCCAGAGAAATGAATTACTTAACACTGGGTGTGGACTCTCCCCGCTGGCCAGGTAGCGGCAGGAATCTGAAGCAAGGGCCAGTGCTGACTTTGGCCACAGCTGGAACGCTGGCGTAGTCTCCTGTGTGCAATGTGTTTGGGTCACTTGATACCCAGCAATAGTCCTGCACGCCTCTGCCGACAGGGCCTTCCTAATCCTAACGGTGTCTTGAATCCCACCATCTTCGTATCAAGTCAGAAGGTACCTTTAACATACACACAGACACAAGCATCGGCGGAGGAATCAGAGACCAAAAGACCTCGAGACACGGAGGTCTGCAGTCCCTGTTGTTGCTATTAATATATGGATCTAGGTTCCATTTTAAGCCAAATCCATATTCCAATTGGGGAACTGCTGCAAACCCTCGGAAGGCCTTGCAAACAAAAGAGTAAACCGTGGAGAGCTGATCACTGTGCCAGATTCAGTGCACACCATTTTTATATCCTAATTGCCAGCAACGGGGACAGCTGCATCATTGTTTAAAACACACATGCACGCACAATTAAGCCAAGAAGAAATGTCAACACTGGCACAATCTGCTAAATTGCTGATAACTGATGGGCATTACTCATGCTGTGAGCATTGTCTCCGACGGAAACGGAAAGACTCCTTTAAAAAAAAAAAAAAAAGACCTCAGAGATTTCGACTGGTTTAAGAAAACTGGGGTTGGTAACATTATGGCACAATTGCAACCTGCCAGATTATGTAAGTGACATTCCACCCATGCGTTCGCAGAGTCTGTGATAAGTCCAGGCTGTTCTGCCTCTTCCTATCTGTGTTCGCAAGGCGGCTCCAAGAGGCTGAGTCGTGGTTCGGGGATACTCTGTCTGTGCTGAGGGCGTCTTGCAGCCACCGAGCAGAAATGCCCAGGGATAACCTCTAAATCTAGAGAGCCAGAGCTCGCCATTGCTCGGGCATCTGTGGACGCTGGATCCTCCTGGTTTTCACTAAGCTGTTATTAGAGAATAGAACTAGAATTTAAACTCCTCATTCGGTTCCCTTATAATGCACCAAGCATGTTCGAAATAACTTATTAAATGATCCTGAATGAGGCTATGAAGTCACAGTGTGGCCTTCCTGCGTCCCACCTGAGAGACAACTTCCTTTTGTCCTCGCACCACTCCCCCACCCCCCGCCCCAGGGATTCCTCTTCTGCATCTGCCCTGAAGGACCCAGTTTGCTTCCAGAGGCAGAGACAGGCTTCTCAGTATTAATCCACAATGGCTCCTGCGTCTCAGGGCGGAAAAGACTCATTTCCCCCTGGGGGCTGTCACATTCCCACAGGTAGCCAGAAACAGCTACACTCTTCATAATGAGGTCACTCGGGGACACACTGAGATGACATGGTGTCTTCTTTGCTCACCTTCAAGGCCAGGCCCTGGGCTAGAAACCCCTGGGATCAGGTTCTGCCCTTTGAGGAGGAGCTCTGACAAATTCAGTTCAGAGAAGGTTTCCCATTTCCAGTCCAGGGCAGGCTCCTCGATGCGTTTTGCTGGTGGTCTGTGTAATGCTGAGACTTCAAAAGAATGCCTGGGAACACAGAGGTTTGGAAATGTTTAATGTTCCTTGGGTACCTGTAAAGAGAAAAGCAATACGTGTCCTACTATGATCATCCATTTCTAGAACACCAGAGATTCCCGGTCCTAATGTCACAGCCACAGTCAAGTATGTTCATTTAGCCTCTGTCCTGGTTTCTCAAGGTCCAGGCTTTCAGTGCCTGTGGTGGGAGTGTCTACTATGTGGTAGGTATTGCATGATGAGCCAGGGAAATGAGAATCTGTAAGTCATAGTCTGTGCCCTTAAAGGAATTTAGGTGACAGTGAAGAGGGCACCCAGTACCCTCTAGTAGGAGAAGTAAGCCTCTAACCCAAATGGTGGGGGGGTGGGTTGTTGGGAGGTAGGGCAAAGAATGGCAAGGAAGGGGTCGAGAGGAGGTGGCCATTGAACTGAATTGTACCAGGGAAGGATGATTAGCCAGGTCACTGAGTGGGGCAGGGGCACTGTGGACAAAGCCCAGCAGCAGGAGACAACGTGACCCGGTCAGCTCAGGGTAGCTGGAGAGATGAGTCTGGAGGAGAGGGCAGGAGCCAGAGAACAGGAGTGGGGAAATGATCCACC